TTAGCTAATGTGATCAGTGTAACCATGAACATGGATGTATAAGTGTGTCCGTGGCAGGAGTACCCAGTGATGCTGCTGAGTTATATGATATTTCTATTCTTGGGTTTCTGAGAAGCATCCATGCTGATTCCCATAGTGACTGCCCCCATTCACACTCCCAGCAACAGGATCTCCATGTTCTTCTTTCCCCAAATCCTCACTGGAATTTGCTGGTATTTGTTTTCTTGGTGATAGCCATTCAGATGGGTATGAGAAAGAATCTCAAAATGATTTTAATTTCCATTTCCTTGATAGTTCAGGATGTCGAGCACCTTTTCAAGTGTTTATTGGCCACTTGTGTTTCTTCGGAGAACTCTCTATTTAGCTCATGGGTTCATTTATTGATCGGGTAATTTGTCTATCTATTTTGTTTCGTTCTTTATGCAGTCTGGATAATAATCCCATCTGATGGGTAGTCGGTGAAGATTTTCAGCAGCATCTCTTTGCTCGGATGATTGTCTCCTTGCTGGGCAGAGATTTTTTTAATGCCACACGATCTCAACAGTCAGTTCTTGGGATGATTTCCTGGCCTCGGAGTCCCTTTCAGAAAGTCCTGGTCTGTGCCTACATCTTGAAACATCTTCCTCTAATGGCTTCAGAACTCTAGATCTTAAATTATTTAAGGACTACCGTCTTGTTGCCATTGTTTCATATATTTAGAATGTTCTGGATGTTTTAGGAGAGTCAGTCAAATCCACTCCTTTACCCCTCGTTGCCTGGAAGCAGAATTCCCAAAGCCTTTAACCATGGTGTCCAGGGCCTGGCCCAAATTGGGTATTCCCAGCCCTTTAACGTATTATGGGCTGACTAAAAAGAATGAGGCTCCCTTGACACAGCAGACTTGAGCCTGGGCCCCTTTCCAGTGCCCTCCTGGCTGCCTGTCCCATCATCTGCACAGGGTCAGAAGAGTTGACCGATATGTCAGTTTCACTGAGACTCAGGAAATGGTGACATGACCCCTGAGGTTTCATGACAGCTCCTGCCTTCTGTCATGTTCAAAGGGAGTGACAGAGACTGAGGCAGCTCTTTCCTGGTGCTTGACACTACCGTCTGGCCTCCTGCCTGTCACCCAGGATTACAACTCAGTGTGCAGGTTGCCCTTCCCTTGCCTATTGGCAGTCAGTGTGTGTGTCGCTTCTTTGGGAGATTGCCGGCTCCTCATGCAAGAAGATCAGGTCTTAGTCAGCTTTATAATCATCCCTGGGCAGCTGGCACCAGGTCTGGCAGAGGACAGCTTGTGTCTGATTCATCTCTGTACCCCCAGCTCCTAGCAGTGGGCACTGAGCATGCTCAATACATATCCAGAGGAATGCATGCATGAATGAGCACTATCAGAAAGCTGTCTCTCAATATGAGCCTCTAGCCTGCCCACATGGTGAGCATCTATGCTCTCTGGAGAGGTATTGAGGGAAACTGAGGCAGTAAGCAGGTTAGTGGACAGCTCCAAGATCTTGAGGTCCCTGTTCCAGCCCTCTCATAAGTTTCTCCAAGGTTTATTATCTTTCCTGAAATGATAGCGCCCAGGTTCCTTCTAGCTCCGGCATCCTCTAATCACTCAAACAAGGATAAATATGAATACCACCTTAGAATCTATCGCTGGCTTGGTGACCAAAATCCATGCTTCATGCCACCACGTCTCTTGAAATACCTCCTCTTCACAGACACAGTGTTTTTGCCTTGGGTTGTTGCCTTCCACAATACAGTGTTCATTGGCACCTACTGCGTCCCACGGGGTTTCAGACAGAAGGACACACAACCAGAGCCAGCTGTTTCCAGTACCAGTGTTTAGAATAAAGACCATAAAATGAAAAGTCTCACCCAGCTAGCAGAGTATGAGGAAAAGAGACCCTGCCAAATTCCAGACCGAGCTGTGCAACCTGTCATGTGGATGCAGTTTCTAAGGAGGGCCTTGCTGTCACCTTTGAGGGACAATCCAAACTTAGATGTATCTCTGTTAACACCTCTAGCTGAATCATTCACTCTGGTGACCAAAGAGAGCACCTTCCCTGACCCATGCTTCCAAATGCTCTGGGACATTCCAAGGTATAACCACTCTCTGAGACCACACACAGGAAGACTGCAGCTGCAACAGGCTGGGTAAATGACCCTGGGGATGTGCCCAGAGAGGTCAGAGCCTGGGGCAAAGCTGCAGAAGTAGAAAAATAGCTTTCTACTCCACAGAAAGGAGGAGCAAACCTCTGTGGGCGCTGGAGGCTGCAGCAGGGTGCTAAAGCTAAAGTCACCCTGGGAAGACTCAGCAGTGCTCCTAAAGGAGAAAATTTGGTGTAGTGATATTTTTATTTATGTTTGCCTGAAGATTAGAGGGCAAAACTAAGCCACTAGAGCCCAGGCAGTGGTGGCACACACCTTTAATCCCAGGATTTGGGAGACAGAGGCAGATGGAACTTTGTGAGTTCAAGGCCACCCTGGGCTACAAAAGATCAATGCAGAAGCAGATCCAGGTGTTGGTGGCTCATACCTTTAATCACAGTACTAGGGAGTCACACGCCTTTAGTCCCAGCACTGAAGGGGAATATAAGACGGGAGGAGACAGAGGCTCAGGGCTCAGGCTGCGGTCACCCAGCCTTGGTAGAGGTAAGACTTCGCCAATGGTTTGGTGTTTTGCTTTTCTGATTTTCAGCTTGAACCCCAATATCTGTTTGTTATTATTCAAGCTACAATTTGGAGTTTGATGCTATCAACAAAGTCATTGAATGAGCTCATGGGTGGAAGCATGACACCCAAGCATCCTGCTGGCTCTCCAGCACTATTCAGTGTCTGTGTGGTGACTGATTACCTAAGGCTGGCTCCTTCCAGCTGACAGAGCCTGGTGGTGTCCTCATCCAATATCTCTGGGTTTTCTGAAGATCTGTGGAGAACTGAAGTCCACTTGGGACTGTGTGTAGGTGGAGACCGCTTTTTCATTTCCCAGCTGCCCAGACCGGAAAAAAATCACACAAAAACTGCATTAATTACAACACTGTTTGGCCTATTCACTCAGGCTTCTTATTAACTAGCTCTTATATCTTAAAATAACCCATTTCTATTATTCTGTATATCACCATGGGGCTGTGGCTTACTGGATAAGTTTTTGGTGACTGTCTCCTTCGGCAGCTACATGGCATCTCTCTGACTCCGCCTACTCTCTATGTCTCTTCCAGGCTGTCTATATTCTGCCCTGCTATAGGCCGAAGCAGCTTCTTTATTAATCAATGGTAATAAAACATATTCACAACATACAGAGGGGAATACCCCACATCAACTGTGTGTTTGTTAATAGGCAGTCTGGATCCCCCAGGAGTCAGAGAATGTCGGGGACTGTGTGTTTGTTAATGGGCAGTCTGGATACCCTAGGAGTCTGAGAATGTCTTCCCGGATCCCAGGATGTGTTCACTCCCTTCTCTCTATTTCCATTTCTCCTTCTTGGTTCTGCCTGGGAGCATGCCAGAGCGTAAACATCTGGGAAAGAAGTCTAGGTGTTTGCTTATGATATTAATCATACACACACACTTTACCCAAGAGGAATATAAAACTGTCTATACAAAAAGTTTCTTCACAGGTGTTTGTTGTAGCTTTTCCTAGAGATCAAGAATCTACCAACAGCCTGGGAGCCCATTAGCAGGTAAATGGCCAAACAGTTGTAGCATAGGAACATGTGTGTGTGGCGCTGGGGGCAGATACCATCTACCAACAAAAAAGGGAGAACTGCTAAACTACATAGCTACCTGGGCGAATCCCCAACACTGCTAAATAAATAAAGCAAATGTAAAAGAAAACAAGAATTGCTTATCACATGATTTGGTTTATATGAATGCCAGCAACAAGCCAATCTTATCTATTATTTTAGCAATCATTAGGATGGTTGCCCCAGGTTAGGGATTACTGAGGAAGAGACTCAAGGATACCTTGAAATTATTGGGAATAATGGGTGTGGCTTCTCTGGTATAGACATCTGTCACAGCAGCCAGGTGGTCCATTGACAGGAGGGGAACCCCCGCCCCCACGTATCCCGATATCCTTGAAGCATCTTCAACTGGTTGCTGCCTCTTCAGAGCGCCTAGTACTGAGGGGGCAGAACTGGGGACATAGCTTTGACTCTTGTGCAAATCTTCGCATATACTGATGACTGGTGTAGCACTCCTCTCCTCCCTCACCTTCCCTCTGTTCTCTGCCTCTCTCCCCTCCCATCCCTCACCCCTTTTGTAATACTCAGGGCTTTCTTTTCTCTGTCCTGTCTGGTTCTTCCCAGGTCTCTGGGATGGAGCTGGGCTGTCTCTTTGCTTTACTCCCAGGGAAGCAAACAGTCTCTCGAGGCCTGTATTCCAATGAGCACCAACACTGCCCAGACCCACAGGTTTACCTAAGGATTGCTCTGGGAGAGGGTGGGGACCAGAGGGGTCTCAAGCTGCGATGGTCACACACCTTCCCATGTTCTGGCCCCATCCCTGCACAGTGAGAATGTTACTGGTAGCCTCACCGGGGCCCGATCCAGGCAGGAAGAGTGAGCCTCTCACAAGAAACTCAGTTCAGAAGCACATCCAGGGGCCAGCCTCCCTCCTTTCTCCTCCTAAGTCCCCTGCGAGCCCGCCGCCCCACCCCCAACCACAGACACACCGGATTTAATGCCTCGACTGAGAGAATGAGATGTTCTGTTATTTTTCATGGGAAATTAAACCCGACCCTGCTGTCAGTTAGCTCATGCCTGGGAGGATAGAGGCCTGCTTAGCCAGGCGCTCAAGCCCGGGCTCTGAGCTTGCCAAGGCGCGATGGAGGCACTGACTGGGGGAGGGGCTGGCTGGGGGCCAAGCATGATGTCACCTGCTGAGGTGGGGGCAGGGAAAGCAGGAGAGGTCAGAGGGCCTTCCTCAGGGTGATGGATGGCCGTGAGGGCCGCTCCCTCGCCAACCTCTCACAGACCCACCTCACTCACTCAGAGAAACTCAGACTCCAGTGTCTTCCAGCTCCCAACTCTACCTCGTGCCCCGCGGAGGACAGCTGGTGGTCGGGGCTGGTGATCATCATCGCTGTGGTCTGTGCCTCCCTGGTGTTTCTGACTGTGCTGGTCATCATTTGCTACAAAGCCATAAAGAGGTGAGTGTCCGGCCACAGCGTCCAGGTGGAGCCCCCTCAGGGAGCCCAGCTCGGCTGGGATGTCTTCAGCTGCCTGGCCACCATTGTAAATGATAGATGGTCACACCAGTCAGGAGCCGGAAGGACAGGCAGGGGACGCCCTTCATCCTGACCCATTTAATGCTTGTCATGAGTTTGTTGTAGTGGCTACGGTGATTTCCCTCTTTGTTCTTCTAGCTTTAACATTTTAGAGGTGATCTCAGACATACCTTCGCAGCGTTAGGAAGTTTGATTCTGTAAGCTACACGTCTATTTCAGCCTGATACAAAAACCATGCAAGGCCATTGCCAAACACCGAAAGGGTAGCAGTCATTAATAATATTTTGGAGAAAGGGATTTTCTTCCTTAATCCCCGTGCTCCAGAAGTTACTTCTATAGTATTATTACTAGAATAATTGTTAACATCTAAAATACTTAATTTTTCCATCTGAACCCAATGTTCTGTGTAATTTCATTTCAATAATTCAAAACCAAAAAGAATGACAAAGGAACACTTAAAATGAGGGTGTGGTCAGGTACACAGGCCTCAAACGGGGACACCTGGGCAGAAGAGGGAGCACAGGAAATAGAGCTACACAGACCTGGGCGCGCGCATTCTGGGCCTGAGCTTTTTTATTGCCAGCCCTCAAGCCACAGGCTGGCCTTCACAAATGGTATCAACACCGAGTGCTCAGGAACTAGACTACTGGAATTTCCAGGCTAGGCTTCTGTGCACCTCTTCTCTGTGTCCTTGGTCCGTCTCCTCCCATCCTTCCCAATTTGCTGTATTTTTCAATTTAAGAAACTGAGTCTCCAAGGAGCTAGGAAGCTGCCTTGGTATCAGAATTTGAATCCAGAATTGTTTGGTGCCAAAGCTCACCTCCCGCCATGTTGGGGCGCTCAACTAAAGTTTTGTATTGATGATGAGACCCCACACGCCTGCCTGCCTTTCTGTGAAGTTGAAAAGAGGGACTGCTGGATTTGATGTCTGTGCTCTGCTGGGTCAGAAGGACAAACAGATAGAGGAACTCAGAGGCCCTGAGACCCAGTAACTCTGGGTACAGATCTTGCTTTGGACACCAAAATGGGTGGAGTCCCCACTACTAAACTGTTTTTGAGAATACCTGCTATGTGCTGGCTCCATTAACAGAGACAGGTAGTGTTTGCAAACAGTAAAGATTATTTTGTCATAAACTATTCACCTGACCCCCAGGCAAGAGGACTGATGGTCCCCAGGCCAGGGGAGAGCTGCCTATTGTAGGTACTCAGAGGAGCCATGATGAATGCCATTTTTTTCTCTTTCTTTCTTTCTTCCTTCCTTCCTTCCTTTCTTTCTTTCTTTCTTCCTTCCTTCCTTCCTTCCTTTCTTTCTTTCTTTCTAAAAAAGAAAACAAACTGTATTTTTATTTTACATACCAATCCCAGTTCCCATTCCCTTCCCACTTCCCCTTCCCTCCACCTATCTCTCCACCCCACCTCATCCACCACTCCTCAGAGAGGGTAAAGCACATTACTTTGGGGAAGGTCCAAGGCCCTCCCTACTATATCTAGACTGAGGAAGATATCTATCCAAAAAGAATAGGTTCCAAAAAGGCCAGTGCAAGCAGTAGGGATAAATCCTGGTGCCACTGCCAGTGGCCCCGCAGTCTTCCCCAGTCATACAACTGTCACCCACATTCAGAGGGTCTAGTTTGGACCTATGCTGTTTCCTTCCCTGTCCGGCTAGAGTCAGTGAGCTCCCATTGTTCAGGTAAACTTTTTCAGTGGGTGTTCCCATCATAGTCTTGACCTCTTTGCTCATATTCTCACTCCTCCCACTCTTTAACTGAACTTTGGGAGCTCAGTCCAGTGCTCCAATGCAATGTCTCCACCTCCCTTTTCATCTGTTGCTAGATGAAGGTTCTATGATAATATTTAAGATATTCATCAGTCATTCAACAGGACAAGGCCATTTCAGGCACCCTCTCCTCTATTGCTTAGGGTCTTAGCTGGGGTCATCCCTGTGGATTTCTGGGAATTTCTTTAGTGCCAAGTTTCTTGCTAGCCCCATAAGGGCGCCCTCAATCAAAATATCTCTTTCCTTGCTTTCATCTCTGTCCTTCCTCCATCTCGACTATCCCATTCCCTCAAGTTCTCCTCCTCCTTCCTCTTCTCCCCTCATCTCCCCTTTCTGCCCTCTCTACTCCCACCACCCCCATACTCCCAATTTTGTCAGGCAATCTTGTCTGTTTCCCCTTTCCAGATAGATCTATGTATGTTTTTCTTAAGGTTCACCTTGTTAACTTAGCTTCTCTAGGATCACAAACCATAGGCTCAATATCCTTTGTTCTACAGTTAGTACCCATTTAAGAGTGAGTACATACCATGTTCAATTTTCTAGGTCTCGGTTACCTCACTCAGGATGTTTTTTTTTCTAGTTCCATCCATTTGCATGCAAATTTCAACATGTAGAAGAATGAACATAGATCCATATCTATCCCCATGCACAAAACTCAAGTCCAAATGGATCAAAGACTTCAATATAAATCTGACCACACTGAACCCGACAGAAGAGAAAGTGGGAAGTAGCCTTCAATACATGGGCACAGGAGACCACTTCCTACGTATAACCCTAATAGAACAGACAATAAGAGCAACAATGAATAAATGAGACCTCCTGAAACTGAGAAGCTTCTGTAAAGCAAAAGACACAGGTAATAAGACAAAAAGACAGCCTACTGAATGGGAGAAGATCTTCACCAACCCCACATCAGACAAAGGACTGATATCCAAAATGTATAAAGAACTTACAAAATTAGACATCAAAATTCCAAATAACCCAGTTAAAAAATGGGGTACAGAACCAAACAGAGACTTCTCAACAAAAGAATCTCAAATGGCTGAAAGACACTTAAGGAAATGTTCAACATCCTTAGCTATCAGGGGAATGCAAATCAAAACAACTCTGAGATACCATCTTATACCAGTCAGAATAGCTAAGATCAAAAACACCAATGATGGCTTAAGACAGAGAGAATGTGGAGTAAGGGGAATACTCCTCCATTGCTGGTGGGAGTATAAACTTGTATAATCACTTGGAAAATCAGTATGACGGTTTCTCAGAAAATTAAGAATCCAATTACCTCAGGGCCCAGCAATTCCACTCTTGGGCATATACCCAAAAGATGCTCATTCATACTACAAGGACATTTGTTCAACTATATTCATAGCAGCATTATTTGAATAGCCTGGAGACAACCTAGATGCCCCTCAACTGAAGAATGGATAAAGAAAATGTGGCACATGTACACATTAGAGTACTACTCAGCGGTAAAAAATGACGAATGCCAATTCTAACTGACCGTAGTTGAGCCTTGAGCCTGTGGGGCTTTCAGAATCTGGCATGTGTACCTTCACTGTGTACCTTGGGATGGTGATACAGATACCACCCTTGGTGGAGTCATGGGGGTGACTTTTTTCTGGTTGACAAGTCCACTATTCAATATGATTAAACTTGTCTTGTCCTCCTGTCCCAGTGGGTTGGAGCCCCTGTGTCTCATACACAGCTTTAGGGCTTGGGTCTTGACATGTTCAACTCTCCCCTCTTCACCATCTTGACAGTCTGGTTACTTCCCCAAATTATAGGTTCAGTAGATACATATGTTTTTGAAACAGATTCTCATAATGTAGCTCAGGCTGGCCTCAAGTCCTCAGTCCTCCTGCCTCAGCCTCCTGTGTATACAGGGGGGCCAAGCCAGGAAGGACTTCTGGAAATACAAGACAGGCCTTCCTGGGCTGTCCAAGGTCACCTTGGGAACCAGTCCTCAAAACGAGCAGAGGTCTTGTGTGTGCCGAGTGCCAGAGTGAAAAGTATAGGGGCTGTTTCTGAGGACATGCTTATGTTTTTTGTACTGTGCCTCACTATTCCACTTGATAGAGCCTTGGAAAAGCAGGTGCCAAAAACCCTCAGTGGGTCAGATGCCATGTGGGGCCACCTTTGCCCTCAGCCCCCCTCACACACACAAACAATATCCACCCTCATCACCATGTGGCATTCCAGGGGTTTGCAGAGCACCCAGGGAGCCTGAGATACCATGGAAGGTCCCTCTCTAGCTCCATGTGCGGCCTGGGAGAACTTCCTCCAGCGTTCATGCTGGGAAGCGCTCCTTGCAGATCCTCGCCTGCAGTGCTCCGAGGAGAAGGAGAGTCCCAGCCTGGGAAGGACCCTCCCCTGGAGCCTTCCCTGTCCACCAGGGCCCTTTCTGCTCCCCTCTCTGAGCACACACAACGTCTCCCAGAGCCAACCCAAATAGCCAAAGGACAATGCGAGTAGGCTCATAGGCCACATCTCAGCCTCGGCCTCACCAGGTGTGGAAAGAGAGGTGCCCATGCACATCTGCTTCTCCTAGTGACACCTTGGTGGTTGGGGAAGCTTCTGGCTTCGAACTCAAGGTTGGGAACATCTGTACTCTATAGAGGAGGGCTCCTGCTGGGCCGTTGTAGGGTGTGTGTGTGTGTGTGTGTGTGTGTGTGTGTGTGTGTGTGTCTGTGTCTGTGCAGGGTTGACTGAGGATGACAGTGTTATCTCATTGCCAGCAGAGCCCTAGAACCCAGGCAGAGACCCCAGTGGAGGCAGAGGCCCTTCTGGGCTCTGCAGCTGGAGCCCAACACATGATGTTTTCAATGGAGATCAGGAGCATCTAATAGATGGGGACAGAAGATCTCCAAACAGGAAGGCCGTGCCCCCATCCCTTCTACCCAGAAGCCAGGGCACATGGAGATGCTCACGCCCCTTCCTTTTGGTTTTAGGAACCAGGCCATTTAAAGGCGTTCTCTGTGGCCTCTGCCTGGCTTAGTGGAACCAGTCCAGTTTGGCCCACAGATTGGAGGATCAGAAGTCCTTGCAATGTCTGCTAGCTCTTCCAGAGCCTCAGAAGGTGCATGCTAAGTAGGAAGTCTGGGCAGACTAGAGTACGGTACGATGGCCACTACTGGCCAGCCAAGCAGCTCCCATGACACCTCTCTGCCAGCAGTGCTGAGTCCTAACACTCACAGAGCACTTACTGTATGCTACTCATTCACATGCTTGATCTGCACTAATGTGTTTAACCCTTCCAACAAACCTATGAAGGGGATGCCGTTGTTGTACCCATTTTAGAGATGTGGAAACTGAGGCTCAGAGAAGTTGCCTAGATTGCCTGAGTTCACACAGGTAAAGAGTGGTAGAAAGCTGAGGTTCTTGAAGATGTGGCCTTGGCCCCTTAACATGGGGTCATTTCTGCTTTCTCTGGTACCAGTGAAGCCCAGAAGGCTTTGGGAACAGTTAGGACAGAGTATGGGAAGCAGAGCCGAGAGGGGCTTGGCTCTAGTGCCAGGAGGTGGACAGGCTAAGTCTATTAATATTGAGGACCTTTTATGAGGCCATGACCACAAGCTGACATCTGGGAGCTCTTAGGCCCCACAAAGTGGGCCATCTTGGATTAAAGCTAGGCAAGACAGACTTCTTGGAAAACTCAATATGACTTTGAAAGCTCTCTGGGAGGAGGGCTCAGGAGGCTTTCCCAGCAGCTAGAGCACAGAGCCCATTCTTAAAAGAATGCCTGGGGAGATGCTGACCTAAGGGGCCAGTCAAGGATGATAGTCCCGGTCCCACTGCAATGCAGTCAAAGCTGTCACTCTCAGCCTCAGTTTCCCTCCCACGAAATGACTGTCTTACCTCCAGTCTAGCTTCTTCGGGAGGCCCTAAGGAGGGACAAGATTTTCTCTACCTGAGTGGGCTCTATACAAAGGATGGCACAGCAGGAGAGGAAGTCTGGATTTGATCTTGCCTTCCCAAAAGCCACAGTGCCTAGGCTCAGCCACCTGGAGTGGTTTCCTCTGTGAACAACTTCCACTACAAGAAAGGAGACCGTGCAGGCTTGACCTTAGTGTAGCTTGTGAGAGGTCCCGGTTGTCTCGTGACTCCACTGATCATCCCCTGCCTCCCCACACTGCTGAGCCTTCAGAGTCCATGCAGCGATCTTTGAGCCAGTCACAAAATACCGTGCCTGCTCGTCCTGTCTTTGGGGAGGCTCTGGGGGTGCTTGAGAAGACAGAAGCAACCAATCCTTGAGCTTACTTTTGAATATGACTGTAAATGTCTAGTTTGGAGACTACTTAGCATGAGCCATTTGTCCAGGTACCTCTGGGGACATAGGAGGGGCCTGAGCTATGTGCTGCTCGGACCATCTTCACCCAAGAGACAGCAGTACAGTGGTGTGAAACACAGGTTGTACAGCCCAGCCCAAGAGGTTGTAGATACTCAGGGTGGAGCCATTAGATACCCCCTGAGTGACTCAGAGAGGAAAGAGGACTTCAGCCAGGTGGGGAAATAGCACTGTGAGTTTACACTCTCAGCAAGTGGGCTAGGCCCTTTCCAGTGCCTCCCTCCTAGCCTTCCTGATCCCTGTGCACGTAACAGGAATGGATCCTGGGTTCGGTGGTCTCTGAAATGAGCTTCAGATGGTTCAGTGAAAACTGCTAAGAACCCCTGCTGTGTACTAGCTCAACTTGGGAATTCTTCATTGTCAGCACCACAACCATCACCACAATCATTGTCACCACCACTATCAACACGACTGTGACCACTGCTATTATACCCCACCATCACTACTTCCATCTGCCCCACCGTGATTACTACCACAACTATCACCTCTATCATCACTTCCACCATCACCACCAGCATCTCCTCCTCCTCCATCATCACTATAATCATCAGCACCACCTC